TTGAGGTCCCTTCCAACCCGGGTCATTCTATGATCCTATAGGGCCCTCGCAGCTGTGTGGTCTGCTCTCGGTGCTGTTCCGGCGACACCAGTATGAACTGGTCCGTGTGAGCCACAGGAGAGGTTTACCGTTGGGTACCAGGTGCAGTACGTGTTGCTTTATGTTACGGCACAGTTTCTGTCTCTGTGTTTCTGATAACGAAATAAAATACCCCAGAGTACTTCTGCGTGCTCTGGTGTCCCAGGTTAGCACCAGGCAGTGCTCTCTGGGGCTGGAATCCAGCATTGAGGTGCTGAACAGGGCAAGTGATGCTCTCTAACTCAAATGGTCAGAGCTTCAAGATACTTTTAAGTGAGGATAAAAAGGAAGGCAAACATAAAATTTATACTTTTGTGACTGTGTTTAAGGATGTTTGTTTTTTTTTTTCTCTTAAATTTACCTTTAAACCGCATCCTGCTTATTTTGGATAGATGAGAAGAAAGCAGACTGGAGGCTGCTGTGGTCCTGTGCTTACTCTCAAGCCCCTTGGTTTCTCTGCTGTTGTACGGTAATAGGCAGGTAAAAGATGCATGCTTTCCAAAAGCCCGCTTGGCTTTTTTGGGCATAGGTGAAGGAAAGTAATTTCAGATGTATTACGGGTTTTAGAAACGTTTCAAAGTTAGCGTAACTAGGAGAATGATATTTCCAGATGCAAATGTGGGAATGTGTGCAGAGCGCATTCTAGGCTCATTTCGGGGGTGGTTCAGTCTCTCTGCTAAAAGGACAACGTATTTCTGCTGTACACCCTTCCTTCACCCAAAATCAAATTGTGTAGAAGGTAAAATCCCAACCTGTAAACCTATCTTTTATGCTATTTGCACTCCTAGATAGCCAAAGAATAGGTCAGCAATTTATTCCTCCTTGGAAAGCAGCACTGGTAACAGCATCTGGTTTAAAGATAGAGAGGGGAGGTCCTTTCTCTGACTACCGTTGCCCACTGGTATTTCTATTAGCTGTAACGTGATCTGCAGGTGGCAAATAAGGCCAAATGCTGCGCAACAAAAATAAATTGCTACTCATTAAAAGTATATTTCAACTGATAATGTATTTTACACGTGTCCCTTTCAGCCTAATTGTGCTCCTTCCCCTGGGTCCCCACCAGTGATATTGTCCAGATGAAAAGAGCTTCCTCAGTGAATTGGTATTTGACTCCTAAATATTGTCAGTCTTTACCTCCCGCCACCTCCCGTTGGTCTGGCGTGCTGTTGCTGGCGCTACGAGGCTGTTCACCGGACGGCCGAGCTGGTCTCTGTTCGCGTGGATTGTGTCTCCCCGGCTGCCCTGCGCTCGGACACGTGCACATCGCAAGGATTTCACAGGAAGTGGAATCACGGCCGCTCCAGTTATTTGCCCTCTTGTAGGTCCCAGTCCCGTTACAAACCTGCTGTGATGAGGGTCAGGACGTGCCCACAGCCTGTGCGAGGAGGTGCTGAGGGACCAGCCCCTATTAACCCGTTTCCTTTCCAAGTTGGAGCATTCTGCTCTAAGGAGACGGGAAAGGCGAGGGTTCCGGGAGAGCTGGAAGTTCTCCTGAGATAACCAACACCCTTACCTTTCCATCCCTAAGAAGTACCTGGTTTTTTTCCCCTCCCAGGGGTGTCAGTTGCTCTTACAAGCAATGCTAGCCCTCGCTCTGCACTTTGGTACACCCGCACAGAAAACTGGTCTGGGCTCTGGAGAGCTCATTCACTGCTTCACCTTACGAGACAATGCAGACACCCTTCTGGTGCCGGGGCAGTTCTCACAAATCTGAGAATTCTTCCTCAGAAGGCTTGTCTGTGTCAGCAGGTTTTCCTCTGTAAGCAGCGTTGACAGCAGCAGAGTGAGGACCGCGGGCTGGAGCATCCCCGCGGTGCGGCGGAGCAGGGCAGAGCCTCGCGGCAGCATGGAGGAGCGGTGTGTTGGGCAAGTCTCTTGGTTCTCACCCTGATGCTCTAACCAGAGAGAAATGATCCTTCAGGTGTGGAATATTTCAAAGAGCCAGATTTAGCTTAATTGAGGAATGTAATTCTTTCGGGTAATGTTAACAAAATAGGAAAAAATGCAAACAAATTCTCCTGGAACCTGGCAAGTCTGAGCAGCGCTCGCAGTGTCGGTAGAAGCGGGTCTTTTGTCTTTGATGAACATTGTGTGCATCGTGAGACAGATCCAAATACACTCCAAATGATGGGCAAGTCCTGGCATTTTGGTGTCTGTGGTGAGGTCTTGTTGGGACTCAAAACCAGTTTTAGGAAAGGTGTTTCAGCGCGTGAAGTAACAGATGGGGGTGAATCATTGGCAGGTGGGTTTTTTCTTACAAAAGGTTCACAGATGGTACTAGACCCCAACACAGGCAGTGTTTTCTCAGATTTCGTGTGTAAATCGTGCACAGAATAGTTTGTTTCCTTTAGAGGTAAAGGTGGAAGGCCATTGTGGTTGCACAATCCTGTCTTTTAACCACACGATTTTAGCAGCTTTTGAAGCACGGTTTGAAGAACATGCTTCCAAACCCTTTCCCCTGTAATGAGTTCCTGAAAACGCGCAGATGGACATAAAGCACAAGCTCTGTGCCTAAGAGAGTTTGCTGTGTTAGAAACAAAACAGAAGGGTAATGAAGACACTTTTAGGATTTTCCTGTTTGTGGGTTTTATGGTATTTTTATTCTCTCTTCAAGTTACTTCTAAGTCGAGCTTTGTCATTTTGGGAGGAAAGTGTGCAAATTTGTACAAGCCTTCTCTGGGGCAAAAAGGTGTGACACAGGAAGTTTAGAATATCTTAAGAAAATCCGAGCTGATTAATAGTTTAATGACTGAATGCTTATGGGTGGTTAGGAATGAATCATGGATGAGGAAAGAAGAGAAGCGATGTTGACAGATGAGAAGGATCAAAGGCCTTTAGTTTTGAGGACGAGGCCTCAAAAGTGTACCTTTGACACAGAACATTTTTGTTTAGATATCTGGTTGCTCTCTTAGAGTTCATGAAGTAATTTTGATGGTAGTCTCTATCCTTGCCAGTAGTTCCTTGTTGATTTATAGCTGATGATATGTGAATGTTATTTTAGGAGATCAATTTATAAGCAGAAGAGCCTTGAAAGGTAGCTGTCTGTTTGACGTTGGAAATAGCACTGTCACATCTGGCAGCTTTTTTAAGTTATGGGATCATGCTGTGCAAGTCAAGGTGTTTATTTAAAACCAGCTTTTCTGAAGGACAGTGAATCCTTTTTTCAGATGCATGATATACACCTTGTCTTGTATCTAAGTGTGGGTGCAGCATGCAGTTGCCTTGCTGCATGCTAGGGAGAGTCTTTTTTTTTTTCTCCTTGTCTCCTATCAGCCCTTACCTGGCTCTCCGGACACGTAAATCAGGGGTTCGCAACGGGGCGTGCTGGGGATAAGCGGGAGACGTGTGTTTCCATGTAGATGTGTTGCAGGAGATTCTTCTGGCTCTTCCTATCAACAACATTGATGGTACAAAATTGCAGAATGAGTAACACATGTTGTGATGGAATTAAATGTGAAATTGGAAAAGGAAACATGTCTCAAGTATAACAAAGGCTTGCCAGATAAACCATTACACTCCAGAAATCTGCTGCTGTGAAAATAAAGAACGTTTTTGGAAAGAGTTCCATGTGGTATTGTTCCCATTTCCCCCATATTCAAAAAAGAAATACCACTTGATTTCAGCTGAGTAAAGACAAATGTGTACAGCTAACAAATGCTGGTACAGCTCACCTACCTAATAACCTCTGTAGTCAGCGTTAGATTTCCTTAGGTGGGTGCCAGGATGCAAGAACCCATCTGTCTTGCAAGTTCACACTTGTCCTACCGGTTCTTTTTGTGTTGTGATAGCATGTGAAGAATTGACTGCTACCAACCTGTTCTCTGTTCGGTTGGAAAATAAAGCGAGTGAAAGGTAAAGGAGCGGAGAAGGCGTAGAGAGTAAACGAGAAGCAGGGTTTCCCAGCAACAAGCGGTGTAGGAAGCCATCCCATCGGCGCCTTTGTCCGTGACCTGCGCCTCCGCAGCAGGCAGATATGTTCTCCCAGGTGTTACAGCCCGAAGGCACAAAGTGATCTCTTGCAGCCAGCACGGCTGCCGAGTGTGTCGCTGTCCTCCAGGTCCCTCACTGTCACCTTCCATTCTGCTCTCCCACGTGTCGGTGCAGAAGCTGGATGGGTGATTTACGAAGCCGTGAAGAATGGGGACAGGCATTAATGACTAGTGATCCTCCTCTTCTTGGTGTTCTCCTTGTACCCATCCTGCTTTGTCAGCTTTATTTCTAGGCACAGATTTTGTTTTGCTCTTTGTTTGGTTGTATTTAACTTACCAGATTTCTGCTCTGAAACTCGGGAATGAAACAGTACCAGGGCTGCCTCGTGAGAGAGGGGACTGGCAGAGTCTGCGCTGTTCTCTGGTCGTGGCACAGAACAGGGACATGTGTGGTAACCAGTTTCCAGTCCATCGTCTTTCTGAAAAGCACAAAATGTGCTGTGAAGATTGAGTTGAACAAGTATTGCTTTGGCTGTAGAGAGGCATCCCAAAATAAGTAACGTTCTCTCTCTGCCTGCTCTGGTCCTGTAATTAGTGCAGCACCGTAGAGCGGTCAAACAGAAACACCCTTTGTTCAGTTGCTTAAAAATGGGTGTCCAACAGCACCTGACTGCGCCAGGATCGTGTGCGCTGGCAGGTTTGGCCCAGGACCTGGGGGAAAACCCTTCTGCAGTGGCAGCTGGAGGCACGGGGAGTGCACGAGGGGGAGTTGTGTGATACTGCATTTATAGTTATTTTTACCGCAATGCTGTCTAGCTTGTGTTAAGAATATGCTGGAAGATGCTACAGCTTCAGTGTCTTAACTCCTAACAGAAGCCTGGTCTGGGAGAAGTTGAAGATGTGTATGTATTCTCTGAAAATGTTTGTATACAGAAATCTGTGCGAATATGTATGTTTCTGTTCTTCACTTGTGGCCACCTTTGTGTTTTCCAGTCCATCATCTTCATTCGTGACCGAAATCCTTGTCGCCAGGAGGTGTCTGCATACATCGACTACGCACACAGGCTGATGACAGATGATTTCCAAGTCTACTTCAGTGGGAAGAAAAGATTTTTCCCTCGGAACACTGATCTGAGGTATTTAGCTTGCCTTTGTTTTCATGTTCTCGCATTTAGGCAGTATTACAGAGAAAGATTGAAATGTTTTCAAGTAGAGAGATAGCTTGTGCAGGTGGTTTTCACTGGAAGACAGACACCACGGACCAGGGGGCCTGGGACCGCTCTCAGCTCGGACGCGGTGTGCGCCGGGTGCTGGTGGCCACGGGGAAAGGACCGGGACAAGTGTGGGTGTGCTGGTGGTGTGAGCTGTCGTGGGTCAGCAGGTAAAGACTGCCGGCAGCTCGCTGCACCTCCCGCGCCGTCGCTGTCCCCGCACAAAGCAGCGTCTGTATGCGGGTCGCTGCCGATACCGTTCGGTCAAATTCACGGATGTGTTGCAGAAAGAGAAAGCAGTGTCGGAGGGGACGGGTGGGCTGGAGAAGACTTTGATTTGTTCATGAGACAGCTGGTGTCAGTCCTGAGGCAAGGACACGGAAATCTCGGCACTGCCTGAGGTAGGAAGCACAAATCCTGATTTTGCGCTTTTGAAGGACACAGATGAGCGGTCGGTTGCTGTTTGTGACTGAATTAGGAACAGGAGTGAACATAGCATTGTGTCCGCTTTGCGTATTGTGTCCTTTCTGTGTACACGGATTTTACTAGTGACTCATAAATAATCCTTTTAGATAGTTGTTGTCATACGAAATGAGAAATGTCGCTTGTATCCAGTCGTTGTGCTAAGCCCTGCTTATTCTAAGTTGAAAAAGTCGCATTTAATGTATACTTCAACCTCCTTCCTTCCCTTGTGTCAAAAGTAGGGGGGTACCCTGCAAAGTCTTCATGAGGCATTCACGATGTTCATTCCTTCCAGTGGCAGAATGGACCTTCAGGGGGTATTTAATTTTACCTTTTTGTTCCAAAAAGAAAGGCGAGGGACGGGGAGGAGGGATAGAGCATTCCATATGTAAGGGATTTATGACTAGAATGTAACCCATTTCCTTAGAACTTTCCAGATGAATATAAAGGGAAGTTCAGATGAAGCATATGCGGGGCCAGGAAGGCTAGTTTGTTTTATTTAAATACATGTATGAATGTATGCACTGTAGTTAACGAGGTTCATGTACAGATCTATTCGTGTAACTACACCTGTATATACTGAAGTCCTGCTGCATTGTGTGCCGGCTAAAGAAGAACCCTTCACTTGAGTTTATGTGATGTTCATACCAAATCCAGTGGTATCTGAGTATCAGAGGCTCTTGTATTTGATCTGTGTGATCTCTCTGAGTATCTTTGCCATTTTGTTGCATTGCCCTATCGAGGGAGTATTATTTATATAATATAATCCTCACTTGGTTACGGTTTATTAAATGAAAAGAATGTGTTAGGCAGTGAGTTCTTAAGAGGTCTGGAATCTGGTCTGTAATTGAATCCATTCCCTCTCAGCTAATTTATGTAATCTGATAAGAAACAAGTGTAATACAATTTGTTCAAAGAAAATGGAGAATGTTTGCTCTGTGGAACCGTACCAAAAGATCCTCTGGATGAAGAAGCACGGCAGAAGATGAAGTTTGGGCTGCCTTCTGTCTGATCAGCTGTACTTTGAGTGTCTCGGTGAATGAGGATGAAATGAATGTTTTGCAGCAGAGTTGTACCAGTTCTGTTCTGAAACCTGCCCTGGTTTTTCATTAGTTTTCCGTGGCAGTGTGCTAGACATAGTGTTTGTGATGCTGTATGTGGTGGTGTTTTAACCTCACGCTTAGCTTGTGGTTGCAGTGTTTTCATCTCTTCCCTCTAGTGTGTGTAGTCTTTTCTAAAACAGAGGCAGGTAAGGAGCCATTTACTGTAGAACACAGGTCCTAGAGTTCCCCCTAAACTAGTGGCTTGGAATCATTTGCTTATCTCATCAGCTGTGAAACTTCTTTGGTTTTGGCCCTGGCACGCACCGGTCAGAGCAGGGGAGGTCCAGCGTTCAGGGCGTAGGTGATAGCCTCGTCCGCAATAGAAGCGCATCGCGACACACGGATCCTTCAGGCCGGCATGTTGTTCTCTGTTACTGGCAGGAACCATCCAGTGGGGTAGCTGTGGTCTGTTCTGGCTGCAAGTGGCGCAGCGTTTGGCAGTCACTCATTACCTGGGGTTGGAATTCCCTCCTGTTTTATTGTCAGGTGTGCTCTCAGATACCATCTGTTAGTCTGTAAAGACCAAATCACGGCCAGCGGTACGCTCCCGACCATGGGTGTGAGGCACCTTCTCCTTTCCCTGCCGTACCCTGCACCCCGCAGGTCTGAGAGCGCTGCTCCTCCGCCGCTTGCCCAGGCGAGAGCTGGAGGGAGGAAGCGTCATTTCTGCGCTCGGGGGCACAGGCAGCCCCGCCGTGCCAGGCTGAGGGTGTGCAGAGAGCTTCTCCTCCCTCGAGGAGCCAGTGGCAGGGGGCGAAACCACCTCCTGCTGCGCCCCAGCTGTGCTCCGAGAGCAGCAACGTGCCCGCAGAGGGTGTGATGATCCAGCATCCAGCCCAAAGTCTCTGGAAACTGTTTCTCCCCATCCCCAGGGTATGGTCTGCGGCTGCCGTGGATAAACAGATTAACGCAGCTGGAGGTGGGAGTGGGGGACCTCCAGCAGGCACCGCGCACGCAGTGACACTTGTTCCTGTGGGTCTCCTTCCAGCTCTCGTCCGAGAGCAGGGTGTCGGGTGGATGTTCGAGGACAATAGGCTGTGTTTGTTCTGTTGATCAGAAGGGCGGGTTTCGCAAGTGCAACCGGAGGTTTTTCTTGTGTTGAAAGATCCACGCGAGGCTCTTGGCCGTTTCTCCAGGTGTTCCGGTGATGCCTTTACTTCGGTTGGCTCTGCAGGGGAAATCAGTTGGTGACTTCGTGTTGGTGTACCTCTGCTAAACCTCGCTCGTGATCTATTTGGGGTGTCACACCCTGGCTGCCCCGCCTAATACAGGAGAAGTCAGCTCGTCAGTGGTATTGAACCCCTGCAAATCAGAAGCCCATTAGTGTCTCTAGTGATTGGGTGCTATGGATATAGACCACGAGTTAGGTCCAAAGTGCATTTCAGGAAAACAGGTGGAAGCATCCCGAGTTTCCAAAATGTGCAGCTTCCAGTCTTGGAGAGGATTAGTCAGAACCCACCCCCTAATTTGCAGGGATTACCGTGCTGCTAGTAGTATTACAGTGTGAAAAAATTCAGGATTGAGGAAAAAAATCTCCCTTCAGCATCCCAATTTTGTAAGGACTTTGCCATGACTTATCGATAGAGTAAATTCCACTGGAATGAGAGTGAAGCCAATGAAGGCTGGTGTCGATCCAGACGTGTTGGCAGGATCCCTGCTGTAGCCATATGGGAGGAAAAAAATGTTCATCTCTGTGTATCTGTGACTCCAGGGTCCTTTCCTTGTACAGTGGTGTTCACTGTATACGTGACTCAGTGTCCTGACTCACAGAGAGTGTGTCCTGATTTTGGAAGATTTTCAGTACCTACAGCTCTTGATGCTTTCAGCGGTATTTACGGCTTAGTCACCCCTCAGGTGTGTTGCTGTCTCGTGTTCGGCATCCAGGATTTTTCCACCACGTCTTCAAACCTTTCGGAGATGAAGCGCTGCCACTGTCCTGAGAGGAGAAGGGGCTGTACAGGGGATAGTTCCAACCGCAGCCGAGGTGTGCAAGGCAACGGAGAGCTAGCAGCAGATAGATGCATAGGCAGAAATGAGAGTACGTCCCGACTTGACGGTTGCATGTGTGAGAAGAAAATTCCATTGCTGCCAACTCAGTAAATGTTTAATTTGGAGATGTATACTTCTAATTCTGGCTTGTATTTAAATAGAGCAAATATTACTTTTAACATTTAATTTCTCTTTTTTTTTTTTCAATTCAAATTTCAATCTCTTAAAGGCTCTTAAGAGGAGAGATTGGCTTTTTACAGCTTTGAACAAACTAACTGTATACATTTGAAATAAGGAAATGGAAACTGCAAGTCACTAAAAATCTTAGGAGAGAGAAAATAGTAATGCAGGGGAAAGGCGATCTTGCCCTCTTTGTCAGTGCAGCCATACTGCCACTGGAGAGAACAGAACAGTAGGAAAAACCTCTCAGAAAATAGGAATTGGCCAAGCACTTGTCTGGAATGCGATTTGGGTTGGAGCTTCTGTGTGTGATTGGAGAAGCAGAAATGATTCACGGCTGTTGACTTGCGTGAAGACAGTGTTATGATGCACGGACACCGCGCAAGGCATCGGACCTGCACACGATAGCTGTGCCTCCTCTTGCTGGTTCCCTGAGACAAAGGAAACTATTTCCCAGCACGTCCCTGTGTGTTCGCCCGTTCACAGGGAGCTCTGCAGGTCACGGGATCAAATCCTATAGATCCTGCCTTACCGGGTGGCTGCGTACCTTCCCACGAGCCTCGGTTCTCTCTTAATGTGGAGCAGAAGCGACACGGAGTTAATTCTGGCAGTGCTGACAGTAGGTGTGTGCTGGTGCTGTTGGGCTGGTTCTTATCAGGCTCTTCTGAATTGTCCCGTTGTTTGTGTGAGACCTGCCGGTCAGCGTGCTGCAAACCCAGCCGCGTCCCAGCCGCAGGGGATGTGCCTGACGCTTCCAGGCTGCCTTTCCGGATGGCCCTTGAAGGTGTCTGCCGGGATGGGCTTCCTGCAACGACTACTGCAGTGTAATTAAAAATGTTAGAAACAATAACAGCTAATGGGCTAGGTCCCAAACAAGGGATCTAATTAGAGATTAATTTAACTGAATTATTTAGAGAAACACTCGGAGCATACGTTTACATGCTGTTCCAAGGAAGAAAACAGAACGAGGATCCTGCATGGGGGCTTCAATTACTGAATGTGTTTGCAAGTAAAATGCTAAGCAGCGTGTAAGTTGCAGCACCGTGCACCATGATTATTTGCTTTGCTTATTTAAAATCTGTGTTAGAAAGGGTGTGTGAAGTGTGGAGGGAGGGAGTTGGACCAGCACAGGGAGGAGTGCGGCGTTTCACCAGCCCAGGGCAGCAGCCTGGCCGTCGCGGTGCAGCCCGG